GTTTCCCCGCCAGCCGCGCACCCCCGGGGGCTCTGAGTGGGGACTGCAAGGACCGCGCACTCCCGGGCCTCGGTTTCCCCGCCAGCCGCGCACCCTCCGGCTCACCACCATGCCGTTGATGGAGACCCAGCAGTTGCGCGGGAAGTCCTGCAGCATGGGCACCAGGAACTGCAGACACCCGTCCCAGTGGCACAGCAGCAGCATCATGCTGATGAGATTGCAGATGCGCATGACCGCGCTCGCCAGGTCGTAGGTCATGTGGAAGATCTGCGGGGCGGGGCGGGGCGTGAGGGGACCCTGCGGCCGCCGCTTCTCCCGTGCAGGGGCAGGAGGAGGACGGAGCGCCCAGGAGAGACCTATGTGCTGCGACAGCTGCCGCAGGCGCCCCGGCCGCCCTTGAGGTTAGCAAAATGCCGTAGACGAGAGCGTGGCCCGGGTCGGCCGCCCGCTCCCCTCCCAGGCCCGCCGCCTCTTCCCCAGGCCCGGTCCCCACCCGCCTCCGCCCTCGGAGCCTTGGGCACCCCTGAAAACCGGGGCGGGGGAGGGGGCGACATCGCCGGGCGCGGGCTGGAGGACATGGGCGGCAGGAGTCGGGTGACTCTCAGTGCTGAGCGGGTCCCCGACTTCGGGAAGAGGGGCGTGATATCGCTCCTGGGAGCCGAGGGGGCTGTGGTTCCTCCTCTTACAGGGCACAATGAAGGGAAGGGGCGCGAATGCGTCACGTGACCCGCCCCGCGGACCTCCCCCCCGACTCCACGCATGTCTCCCCCGCCCCGCGTGGCTCTGCCCCTGGCCCTCGCAGCGTCCCCAAGACCCCGCCTGGCGGGCGCACCTGCCCACACCTGGCGCCCTCCGCCCCGCCCCGTGACCCCGCGCGCGCGCGCACCTCCTCCCACTGGTGGATGTAGCGGATGAGGCGCGACAGGCGCAGCAGCCGCAGGAGGCTGAGGATCTTGGTGAAGCGCACGATGCGCAGCGCGCGCGCCGTCTTGTAGACCTCGGAGTCGATGCCCTTCTCCACGATGAGGAAGATGTAGTCCACGGGGATGGAGGACACGAAGTCCACCACGAACCACGTGCGCAGGTACTTCTTCTTGATCTTCTCGGGGTCCAGGATGATCTCCGTGTTGTCCTCAATCACGATGCCCGTGCGGAAGTTCAGCACCAGGTCCATGAGGAAGAACGTGTCCGAGACCACGTTGAACACGATCCACGGGGCCGTGGTCTCGTCCTTGAAGAAGGTGATGCCCACAGGTATGATGATGAGGTTTCCCACCATGAACAGCAACATGGTGAAGTCCCAATAGAACCTGGGGGCGAGGCGTGGGCTGTCACGCCTCCAGGCCGTGGCCCACGCCCAGCCCTCTGCCGGGCTAGCGGTCCCCACCTCACACCTGCACCTTCAAGAATCCAGCCCAGACCTCGCCTCCTCCAACAAAGCCAAGACTTTGGCCTTGAGTCACAGTTAGTGTGTGCCCCACCTCCAGTAAGCCCTCCCACCCCCAGACAGCACCCCACTGCCCGCTGGGCTCCCCCAGCCTGGGTCCCTCCTGCTGGCCCAGCTCCCACCTTCCCTCCTGGAAGAATCAGGAGACCTGGCAGAGCCCAAGAGATGGCCCCAAATTTGGTTACATGTTTCCCATGACCAAAAAGGTCCAATATGTGAGACCAAGGGTTAGCGCCAAAAAAATACTCTGGATGAGGAAGGAGAGGGGAAAAAAGCGAGGAGGAGGGGGCAGCTGGGGTGACCGGGAGTCGGGGGGGGGCAGGGGCTGGGGGGAGCGGAGCAGGCAGGATCTGGAGTACTCCATCTCTTTCTGGAGCACCTGGGCTCCCGCGTGAGGGCAGAGAAGGGGGACCCTTGGGGGTGGGAGGCAGCAAGGAAGAGGCCAAGGCCCCCCAGGAGCTGCAGGGCTGCCTGAGGAGCTGAGAGGCAGGACATTTAATGTGACAAATTCACCTGAAAACGTGAAGACTGGTTGATCCCACTCCCAAATACCCCCAAGGCAGATACAAGTCCCTGGGGTCAATTCAAAACTCCACCTGGGAAGTGCTCTCAGAGAAAGGCCTGTCCACGCAAGGGGCATCTGTCGATGGCTGGGCAGGTGCTCTGAATAAAGCATGGGGACCTACGGGTGCTGCAGTCGGCCCCACACGGACAGATGCCCAGCACAGAGCCATCAAGAAAACACAAACCAAAACTACTCCGAAGGAAAACTGTTCTGGGCGCCTGGGTGGCTCAGTCGTTAAGCGTCTGCCTTGGGCTCAGGTCATGGTCCCAGGGTCCTGGGATCAAGTCCCACATCGGGCTCCCTGCTCAGCAGGAAGCCTGCTTCTCCCTCTCCCACTCCCCCTGCTTGTGTTCCCTCTCTCGGTGTGTGTCTGTGTGTCAAATAAATAAATAAAATCTTAAAAAGAAAGAAAGAAAACTGTTCTGTTGGTTCCTCAAAAATGTAAACAGAGGGGTGCCTGGGTGGCTCAGTCGGTGAAGCATCTGCCTTCAGCTTGGGTCATGATCCCGGGGTCCCAGGGTTCGAGCCCCGAGACCAGCTCCCTGCTCGGTGGAGAGCCTGCTTCTCCCTCTGCCCCTCCCGCCACTCATGCTCTGTCTCTCTTTCAAATAAATAAATAAATAAAATCTTTTTAAAAATGTAAACAGAATCACTGTCTGACCCAGCAAATCCACCCCAAGTCTGAACCCCAAGAACTCAGATAACCACACAGCACATTCACAGGATCACGATTCACAACAGCCAAAGATGGAAGCTTCAGTGGGTCCGTGGATACACACACGGCCCCCCCACACATGTGCGTGTCCCTCGGCCACGGACAGGAGCGAAGTGCCCACACTTGCGGCCCCAGGGACGGACCCCGAGCCCACGACACTCAGGGAGGGAACCAGACACAGAAGGCCACACGGGGTGTGAGTCCACGTGGGTGACACGTCCAGAACAGGCTCATCCGCGGACGGGAAGGGGGCTCGTGGGGGCGGGGGGCTGGGGAGCAGGGAAGGGGGAGAAGGTGGGTGAGGGAGAGTTTTTGTTTGGGAGGGTGACAGAGTTCCAGACGTGGATGGTGGTGATGATTGCACAACATTGTGAATGTACTTAATGCCATTCAGTTGTACTTTTGTAAATGATTAAATGCCAACCTCTATGTTTTATATATATCGACACTATAAAAAAAAAACACAAGGAAAACTCTGGGACCACAGGGTGGGGGGTCTCAGGGATGAGCAGATGCCCCAGATCCGGGGTCTGAGCCCACACACCCTGTCTAGATTCAGGCAAAGGAGGGTCTCGAATTCTGAACAGAGTCATTTATTTTATTTTGCCCTTACTTAACACTGCGGGGAGCAACCCCCACCCCCAGATCACATCAGCCCCAGGCAGGTGTGTGCAGGGCTCTCCCATGGGCCGGGTGCGCCCCCATCATGGCTGGGGGCCCCACATGCATTTAGAGAAGGCTCGATTGCACATGGGCAGGACAGGGCCCCTGAGGACCCTCAAAAGCTGCCACTCCCTGGCTCCTCCTCCTGGATGGATAGAGGAGGAGACCGAGGTTCCCAGGGGTGGGGGATTCGCCCAGATGAGCACAAGTAAATGAGAAGCCATGAGACCAAGCCCTGGCTGGGCCACAGCGAGCTCCCTGTTCTGGGAGCCACTGGAAGCTCCTTTCTGGAAGGGCGGACCTATTAACACCATGTGTGCGGGGTGACCCAGGAGTTCCACTTCAGGGAAGTGATCCCAAGGAAACTGTCCAAGAGGAAGAGAAAAAATTAAAAACCAATTTGTACCAAGATGTTCACAGTAGCTCAGTCTTCGAGAGCCAAACGCTGGAAGGCACCCAACGTCTGACACCTTGGTGGAAACAGCCAGACCTGGGTTGACACCCAGTTCTCCGCCTGCGGGCAGGTGTCACCGTGGGTAGGTCCCACGGCCCCGGGGCCCCCACTCTCCCCTCCATCAGGGAGGAGCCAGGGGTGGCAGCCTTTGAGGGCTCTCCAGGGGCCTGGCCCACCCACACCTGGTGGGGGGAGCCCTCTCTGAGTGGATGTGAGGACCCGGGCTGGGATGAGAGAGCCTGGGGATGCAGGGGAAGACCTCGAGGGAACTAAATGGATGCACATGATCTGGGGGTGGGGATTAAGGGCAAAACCCAATAACTGCTCAAAATTCAGTTCCCTTCCCCTGCCTGAATCTAGCCAAGGCATGGGAACCGGGATTGAGGGGCCCCACCTGCCTGCTGCCCCAGCACTTCCATCGTGGTCAGCTTCTAATCCCACCCCACACCCTCTGTGAACTGAGACTTGCCCTCCTCCCCAACTTCGGGGCACAGGCCCTGGGACAAAGCAAGCAGGAAAGAGTAACTGAGAAGGCCAGAGGGCCCAGAAACCTTTGTGGGGAGGTACCTAGAAACCAGGAGAGGGCCTAGAAACCATGGGGTGGGGGGGATGAGAAACCACCAGGAGGCCTAAAAACCAGGGCACGGGGAGACTAGAAACTATCAGGGAGAGCCTAGAAACCATGGTGGGGGGGACCAGAAACCACCAGGGAGAGCTTAGAAACAATCTAAATGGCTGGAGTGTGAGGGCCTCCTTCACAGTTTATTTTTTTTTAGTTTCTGTGTTTTATTTTTATTTTTCATTTTTTAAAAAGTTTTTTTTTTTAATTTATTTGACAGAGAGAAGGAGAAGTCACAAGCAGGGGGAGCGGCAGGGAGAGGGAGAAGCAGACTCCCCGCTGAGCAGGGAGCCTGATGTGGGGCTCGATCCCAGGACCCTGGGATCATGACCTGAGCCAAAGGCAGATGCCTAACCAACTGAGCCACCCAGGTGCCCCTCTCTCCCTTTATTCTTGGGTGGAGGTTAGGGGCAAGCATCACACTTCTGCACTGACAGACCACAGAGGTGACCCCGCCAGGGAGTGGGGGCAAAGAGTAGAGACCCAAGCCTGCCGCTCCCAGGACCTGTCCTCAGTTCTCTGCCTGCCTGTTTAGGGTTAGGGTCAGGGCTAACCCTCCTGCAGGCCTGGAGCCCCATCTAGAGCCCCTGGTCCCTGGGGAATGACCGCTGGCCCTGCCACTTGGAGCAGCCTGTTCTCCCAAGCTGGCTGGTGTCCTCTGGGTTTGTGAGGAGTTGGAACAGAATCAGGGGGCTGGGGAGGGGTTCTGAGGCAGCTCTGGGGCAGAATGGCCCAACCCCTGGGCCATCAGTAGGGTGACCCACCTGGTCCAACCGGGATGCCCCCACGTGGGCCCAGAGTCCTGATCCTTGTTCCCTCCAGCCCTCCAGTCCCCCTGGAAGAGGGCAGGAGGCAGAAGAGGGACCCTGCACACACCTACCAAGGGAAACCTGAGGACAGGGGCAAAGGATCCAGGCAGGGGACAAAGGACACCCCCCACCCCCCGCCCCGGCCAGACCCCGACCCCTACCCTGACCTCGCTCCTGGGCTGCATGGCCTGGGACTAATCTCTCTCCTCTGAGCCTCAGTGCCTCATCTGCCTAGATCCTTCCCTCGTTGGGCCATCCAGGCATGACTGGGGTGCAGGGACCACAGGGGCCCCACTGGGCAGGCCCCTGGCGCACAGTCAGCTTTCAGCCACCCAGGGCCTTCAATGACTGTAATTCAATCCCATATTTTAAAATCTTTCCTGACAAATAACAGTGAGGCCCCAGGGGGCCCCGCTTCTGTGGGAACACCCAGGTCCCTACGTTGTGTTTCCAGCGCAGCCGTGGACGGCAGCAGCGGCCTCGTTCACAGAGAAAGGCAGGCTCAGCCAGGAGAGACGCCGCTGGGACGACCAACAGTCTCCCAGGGAGTGCAGGGCTCCGCGACAATGACCCCAGCCTGGGCCTGCAGCTGGGAGAGGGTCCCAGAGCCCTGTCCCAGGCGCACCCCCACACACCCACGTGGGCACGGGCCTTCAGCGGGGGTTCCGGAACTGCCACCACCCCAGGCCCAGTTCTTGCTGGAGCAGTTGCCCTTCCTTTCTCTCAGCTCAGATGGAGAAACCAAGGCACGGTGAGAGCTGAGTGAGAGAAGCCAGGTGCCCAGACTTCTCCAGGCCAGAGATCAGGGCCCCTTCCAGTAGCTGACAAGCGGCCTCCACCAGGACCAAGGGGGGGCGGGTCAGATGGGGGCTGGTGAGCAAAGGCACCCTCTCCCCACCCCTCCCCACCCCGCAGGATCCCAGCTCCAGGAATTACAGATCAGGCAAATCTGAGGGGATTAGGGCCGAGGTCGGTGATTAAGGGCGAGCAGGGGATGGAGGATTAGAGTCTGAGCCCTCCGATGAAGAGTCACAGGTC